AGTACAGTGAGAGGAGGAGAATCTAGGAGAGAACCTTGAGGAACACAGAACACACAAGAAGGAACAGGAAATGGCTTCCTTCCTTGGGTGTAGGAACATGAGTCTGCCAAGTTGCTAAGTACAGCAGCCAGACAGGTAGAAGGAGAAACAGAGTTGAGTCTTGGAGGTCTTCCTTTGAGAGAATTGTGGAAAGCAGCCTGGAAAGCCTGGCCAGTTGAGGTGCTGAGGGCTGCAGGTAACGGGCCTGATCCAGCTGACTTAAACAATAAAGACACTCATGTCACACACCATGAAGTCCAGAGGTAGCATGTTGAGTGGGCTTCAGGGTGTTTTTTTGTCAAGTGCTCCCTCACGTCATCAGGAATATGGGCTTTTTCCATTCCTCCTCTCTGCTTTCCAGGGTGTAGGCTTCATGCCAAGGTTGCTTCCCTTCATGGTCACAAGATGATACACTTCCTTGTTCTTGTTCGGGAAGAAGAGACACTTGGCTTCCGTTCTCTTAAAGGAAAGGGAGAAGCTAACTTTCCTGAAAGCTTCCAGTGAACCTCTCCTTAAGTTTCATTGGCCAGAATTGAGTCATATGCCCATTTATCAGTGCACAGGGGGACAGGATTACTCTTTTGACCAGTCAGGACCACTCCTTAAGCTGTTGTTCAGTTCCCAAATTGCATGGCTGCCAATCAAGGAGGGAAGGACTGGAGATAGATAGTCCCCAGCAGCCATTCCCACCTCCCTCTGGGATGCCTTCTTATTGTAGGTTGGAGAGTCAAAAACTACATTTCTCAGACTTCCTTGCAGCAAGGATAATGACAGTAAATTCGGTTTGGCCAGTCAGATGCACTTCTGTGGAATTTGGACAGTGGAAGTGGGCAGGTGCCATTTTCTTAGTGCCTTGCCTCTGGCTCCTGGCAACGTGGTCATGGAGGCACGAAGTTTTCTGTAATGGTGTTCCAGTGTTTGAGCTGCCAGCATTGTGGGAGACAGGAGACAGTTTTAAAGGCAGTGGCAAGGGCCTCCTGATCCTTGGGTCACGGGGATAGTGCTGTCTTCCTGAACTCAGTAGCTCCAGTGAGCCACCTGATGCCCCTGATTTTGGAAGAGGCTGCAGCTTCCCTGGTGGGCCGGTTCTGTGAGGATGTTCTAGGGGGTCCAGCTGAGGGCTCTCGCCTTCAGTCCATCCAGCTATTTTTTCAGCAGCCAGTTCCCTGTGTTAAATATTTTCTGCTTTATGGGGGTTTAATACAGGGAATTAAATGTTTATAAAACATAGGTCTAGATTGGGCTCTGTCCCCTGGATCTGGAGCAGATGTAAGTGATACAACTTCAGGTCAGAAGCAGTGTGTAGGGACACTTGGGCGGCTCAGTGGTTGAGCTTCTGCCCTTGGCTCAGGACATGGGTCCCGGGGCCCTGGGATCGAGTCCTGCATCGGCTTCCCTGCAGGGGGCCTGCTTCTCTCTCTGCCTGTGTCTCTGCCTCTCTCTCTCTGTGTCTCTCATGAACGAACAAAATCTTAAAAAAAAAAAAAAAAGAAAGAAAGAAAGAAAGAAAGAAAGAAAAGAAAGAAAAATGCAGTGTGTAGCCACAGACTGTGTGTGACTGTCGAGGGAAGGCAACATGTACCCCGGCCCCTCAAAGCCCCATTGGAAGTTTGGGGGAGGGGGTGCAGACTGCTTTCATTGCTGGAGACATGTAACACATTGCTCAGATTATAGCCACCTGTCCAGGGGTATGTGAAGGGAAAGGCAGATGGGCACCAGGTTGAAGGTCTAAAAGTTGAGTGTACTGCTCACAAAAGGAGGAATCCCAAAAGGTGCTCCCAGGGGAGATGGAGTTCCCACCTGCAGCCTGGCATCCAGTCCTCAGAGCACACAGGCCTCACCTCTCAGTGGGTCCATGTTGCAGGGTGGAGGTAAGTGGCACGGTGTGGTGGTCCTCAGTGAGGTTTTTAGTAAGGCAGGGACCTATTTGTATTTTGAAAGATCACCAAGGCAGCTGGCAAGGAGGATGGATTGGTTGTTCAACATCTTCCCTGAATACTTTTGAAGATAGGTAGTTCACTGGCTCTAGAGGCAGCTTACTGTTTTGGGACAACTTTGCCCCCTGAGCCAAAGTTGAACTTTTGCCTGCATGCACCTGCTCAGGTGTGACCCATAGGGCTGGCCAGAAACTCGGCCAAAGCAGCAGAGATGAAGTGGGGAAGAAAATAGGGGTTGTCAACTGGCTGTCAAGAGACAAATCTGGCTCATGGTTGTATTTGTTTGGCAGAAGGTAGTTAACTTGAATTGCAATTCTTTAAGGTGGGACAGTCTTTCCTGTTAGTCAAGATTCCAACATTCCCTGATGAATTAAAGGAACCTGCTTTACTCATGCTATTAATCTGGTTCTTGAAATCTTTGAGTTTGCAACCCCCGTATCTGAGGAATATTTAGGACTGGGGATGCCTGGGACTTTGTGGATGTCAGGACACCCTCCCACTCCCGGAGTGTGTGACCCCTGGTGACAGCTATAGGGTGGTCAGGCTAGAGGGAGGGAAACGGAATGGAAAAAAATCCAGCTGCAATCAACAAGATTAATATGAAACAAACGAGATTACTATGCCTTAAAAAATGTAACATGGAAAAAAACTCCAGCTGCCTCTCAGAAGCCGCCCCTGCCCACATACCCCTTCCCAATGACAAGGTCTAGAGGTGCTGGTGAGTGGCCAAAGTCCCTTTAATATCCCTGAATTGCGTTACAAGTAATACTGCTGGAGGTGAGGGAAGGGATGGGGGTCTGGGGTGCGAGATGGGGGAGGAGGAGGGACGGGGAGCGCCAAGCGCTCATACAAAATATGGCCAAAAGGCTTAGCATGCATGGAAAATTATTGCTGTCGGAAGTTCCTATTTACAGGGTCAACACCCTCCGTAATTGCTTCTGCGACCCCTCTCCCTCCCCCCGTCCCTGCTGCCTCCCTTCCCAGAGGCGGGCCTGGAGCTGAGAAGCCCTAGGGAAGGGTCCCTGCTCCAGCGGCCCCTCCAGTCTCCACCCTCCTTTGTGGCTGGAGGGAGAAAGGGAGGGTTGGAGAGTCCAGGACTCCTGCCCCCAGAGTTGGGCGCCTAGTGATGGGGAAGAGGCATGTGCTTAAAGCAGAGGAGGCCAGGGCACGTGAGCTTGGAGGTGTGTGCTTCGGTCCTCGCCCGGGCATGCAAAAGCGCGGCGGGGGAGGTAGTGGCGGCCAACGTGGGGCAGCTGGCAGCCCCGGCCCCTCTGCCCGGGAGAGTTGCATAGACGTGGCCGGGAGGGAGCGCTCCTCCCGGGAGCGGAGCAGGCCGGAGGCCCCAGCGGGGTCCGGGGCTCAGTCGGTCCCTGGAACCTGGGGTCCCTCGAGAAGAGGAATAAATAGGAAACAGATCGAGGAGGCTCCTCTCTCCGGTGTCCTTGGAGTGGGAGTGGAAGGCTCAGGAGGGCGGGGACCTGCCCCATGACTGGACCTCCTCATACCCCTCACCCCCCCAAGTTGAGGGTCAGCAGGCTATCCCTCCCATTTCTTAACCCCTTCCCCTAAGCCTTTCCCAGCTATTACATTAATATTATTGTTATTAATCATCTCACACCCACTGATGTTTTTATTATAGGTTTTATTCCAGCCTACTAATTCCAAAGCGACCTACAATCAATTCACATACCACCATACCAGATTTTCCTCTCCCCACCTTTAATCTTCCCCTCTCAACCCAAAAAAACCACCATCACTCAACCACAACACAACACCAACCAACCTTATTTTCCTATCCTCTCCTTTCCAAATATCTTTTATCCTCACCTCCCCCCCCCTTCTTTTAACCATACTAATTTTTATTTTCCCTATCATCTCCATTTCTTCATTCTAACTTATCTTTTAGATTTACTCTGATCTAACTCCAAATTCAGTTTTAACCACTACTACTCAACAAACCTCATAGCTAGCCTCGCACAGACGCGCGCACCGTACACCCTCTGACTTACCCTCTTCTACTTCACTACCCTTAGTCCATGTGTACCCTTTCTTCATCATCACCACATCCCCACCTCTCCTTCCCATTCCCAACTTAACAAACTTAATCACAACCTACCTCTCTATAGTTCACCCATCTTACATCGAAAAAACATCAGACACTATTTAAACATACTCTCCCCCCAATCTATGGATTGAATAATGCCAGTCTCTAAAACACGCGCGCTATTTCACCCTCCTTATACATTATCCATTACCCTCATGAACATACTTTTGTCCATTCACATGTATAATTAATGAGGGGACCGCGCCCACTGACAGGACAGCCAAGGCAGCCCAAAGCTCTACAGCACACCAAGAGACAGAGGGCGATCTATGTAACTTAGTGACTACTATTGACGCTGCGGGACCATCTTCCCCACCGCTCCGCCCCCCCCCCGCCCCCCGTCGCTCCTCGGATTAAGGGCCTAGATGGGCGCACATACAGCAAGACTCGGCAGAAGCCAGAAGGGCGGTCTGGGTTCGGAATGTGGTCTGGGAGCTGCAGGGCCTGCGTACCGGTGTGGACGGGGAAACCAGGACAGGAGTGGGAGTCAAAGGTGGGTTTGGGCCTTAGACTGGGGTTCCAACGGAGGGATGGCGGGAGACACTCGGCTGAGAAGTGAGGGGAAAGGTCTGAAAGTTAGAAGGGGCGGGGCGCAGGGTCTGGGCGGGAGAAACTTCCGGCTCTGGGGCCCGAGAGAGGTGCGGACCTGGTGCCTGAGTTGGGAGCCTTGAGGGCGGGGACGGGGTGTCGAGGTCCGAGTCTCGCGACCCGAAAGGACGCAGTGGTCGGGGCGCGCTGGGCAAGCCAGGGCCGGAGGCGGAGGCGGAGGCGGAGGCGAGGGGTGGGTCCGGGGTCGGGAGAGAAAAGTTCCGGGCTGGGGTGGGGGAGGGGACCCCCACGAGGGGCGGGGGCGGGGGCGGGGAATCGCGGCTGGGGGGCGGAGAGGGCGGAGGTGGAGGCCCCCGAGGACGGCGGGCAGCTCAGCTGGCGGGACCGGCGGGGGGCGGCGGGGGCGGCTCTGCCCCCTTGACGCAGGCGGCCTCGCAGTGCTTGTGGAGGTAGGACTTGAGCGCGAAGCTCTTGTCGCACTGGCGGCAGCGGTAGTGCTTGAAGGCCGAGTGCGTCTGCATGTGCGCGCGCAGGTTGGAGCGGTCGGCGAAGGCCTTGCCGCAGTGCGCGCAGCCGAACGGCTTCTCGCCCGTGTGCGAGCGCATGTGGCCCTGCAGGAGCCAGGGCCGCGAGAAGGCCTTGCCGCACACGCCGCACTTGTGGCGCAGGTTGTGCGTGAGCACGTGCATGGCCAGCGCGGGCATGGACACGTACGCCTTGCCGCACGTCGGGCACTTGCGCGCCAGCTGGCTGTCCAGGCTGCGGTGCGTCTGCTTGTGGCGGCTCAGGTTCGACGACGTGGCGTACGTCTTGCCGCACTCGGCGCACGCGTGCCGGTGCCCGCCGCCCGCCGGCGCCCCCGCGCGCCCCGCGCGCCCCGCGGCGCTCCCGGCGTCCCCCGCGCCGCCCGCGTCCCCGCCGCCCCCGCCGCGCCGCCGCCGCGAGCGCCCGTCCGAGATGAAGAAGGCGTCCATGGAGTAGCTGTCGGTCACGGCCGCCTCCCCGCGGAAGTAGCGCGCCGACAGGCTGGACTGCGGGCTCTCGGGGTCGCTGTACTCCTCCGGCGCCGCCGGCGGGTAGGCGGGCTCGTTCGGCGCCAGCTCCAGGCCCGGCTTCTGGTCCGCATCGTAGCTGCTGGGGGGCAGGCAGTGCGGGGCGTAACCTGCAGGGGCGGGAAGGCAGCGGGCACGAAGGTGAGGCGCCGGCCTCTCTCCGCGCGCTCCGGCGCCGCGGCCCCCTGCTCGCTCCCGGGAGACGCGGTGCGGCTGGTGAGGCGGTGCTCGCGGCCGGGCCGCGGGCCTCCACCCCGCCTGCGTCCACATCCTCCCTCCGCGGGGCCCCCGTGGTTCTGCCGTGCGCGCAAACCACGCGGCGGAGGTCTTACTGCCCTGACGCCCCGCTCTGCCCAGAGACAAGAAGAGCCTGAACTCGCAGCCAGGAAGCGGTGGAGCCAAGACTCGGACCTTAGCGGGCTGACGCCAAAGGCCACGCTGTTTTTATTCTAACAACAATCTGCCCTTCTGGTGCTTGCTCCTACTTCTCTGAATCTGTTTCCTCGTCGACAGAATGGAGCTTACAGTTGGACACTCCCTCCCAGGGCCTTTGGAAGGGCAGTCGAGTGCTGAAAAGAAGCGTGTATACGCCTGCACCAGGCTCTGCCTCAGTGCTTTATGTATGTTAACCCATTCAACCCTTACACACCCTACAAAGTGGGTACTGTTATCATCCCCATTTTCCGTGTGAGGAAATAGAGAGGGAGCACAATAATTGCTATATAAGTGTTAGCTATTATAATTATGCTTTTTACTTGCTTGAGAAAGTGACTTCACTGAGGATTATTTGTCTGCCTCCCCCGACCCGACTATGAGCCTCCAAGGGCTGGATCTGTGTGCCCAGCACGTGCCTGGCTCAAAAAAGGTATGCAATGAGTAGATGTTGCATAAATGAATTAAAATCCTGTTAGATCCATCTCCCAGGGTTGCTAGTGGATTTAAGAGATCAAGTGTGTGGCATGTTAATAGGTGGTCCAGGAGGGGGACTTCCTTGTACTTGCCCTGGAGCCTGTTTTGCTCCCAGCTCCACTAGAAGCATTCTGGAGTCTCTCTGTGAGAATTCACCTCCCCCTCTTCCTCCCTCCTCTTTGGATTTGGACCAGAAATCCTGTCTACCTTGGGTTTATGTGATTGGTGGGTAGGCAGGCTGAGGCTCTCCCAGGGGATTCCACAGAGGCTTCCCAAGTGCAGGGGCCACTCTGATTTGTCTCTCCCACTCAGGGCCTAGCATGGTCCTAGCACCCTCCTGGAGGACCCTGGGGTCTGGGTTCCCAGGAGAATTCCTGGCAGCTATGCATGAACTTATCAACCTGGCACCAAGGTTATGTTTCCATTGTCTTGATTCCTGGGAGAACAATGAAGGTTAGCCCCATTTGTGAGGTTTCAAGCTGGGGAGTGACAAAGCAGGTGATTTGAAGCTCCGCTTCTGACCTTGAGACCTGATCTCCCCACACCCCACCTCCAGCCTCCCCCACTCAAGAAAGTAGGTGGAAGAGGACTTTGTAAGCAAGGAACTGGATTCAGAGCTTTCCTTCATTGGAACAACCTGCCTGATTCAGCCTCGGTACCTTTTCCTCTCATCTGGAATCTGGGATGGTCACAGGGTGGTCTGTGCAGACTGTCCCCCAGCCCTGAAGGCAAGAGTAAGCCCTTTCTTTTTTCTTTTTTCCCTTTAGATGTTGGCACAGGACCCTCTGCACACAGAAGTGCTTGGGGATTGTGAGGGTGGATGACTCAGTAAGGAGGGGCTCTGGTTGCAGAAAAGGCAGTGGTGCTAGCAGTTTTTTTAATTGGGGAGGGAGGATTGCCCAGCATCTCAGCACCTGATTTCTCCCCTCCTGTCTGCCTTTGGTCTGGAGGTTCCCCCACCTCCCACTCCAGGAATAAGGCCCTTGAACATTCAAAGAGTATTGTTTCAGACTAAGTTAAGTATCTTGTCAGGCGCTCCCAGACCCCTTCTCTGTGCTATATTTCTTCCCATTGTAACTACTGAGGATAATGATAATATTAGCTAATATTTACTGAGCACTTACTGTGTGCCAGGCTCTGTGCTAAGCACTTCACTCCCATCCCCTGACCAAATATCACAAAAACACTTTTTATCACAGATAAAGAAATGGAAGGTATGGAGTGGTGATGGTACTTGCTCAAGGGGCGGAGCAAGGATTGGAATCTACTGCCCTGCTCCCCTTGTTTTCCAAATCCCCAGAGGTCCCAGAGGAAGAGGGTATAGCTGGGTTGTTCACCTCCCATCCCCACCGCCCCATCTCGTGAGCACTTCTTAAGTAATTGTGAAATGGGTGATAAATGGTGATAAAGATTTGCCAGGTCGACCTTGCTCCCCAGCCCAGCAGCATCTGCTACAAACCATTCTGTCTGCCTGGTCTTGGGACAACTTGATTCCTGGCAGAGATTCAGGGTGATCTTGAGAAAATCAAGTCCTGTACCTCTCTATGCCTCAGAGGATAGATAGTATAGGGTCCACTTGCAGGGGACTACTGATCATGTGACCAGTGCCTCACATGTTTTGTTATGAAATAAGGATGGTACACTGGTTTAAGAGCACAGCCTTGGTGCTGCATGCCTGAATGGAGTTCCAACTTCACTGTTCCCCAGCTCTGTGACCTTGGACAAACTGCTTGATCCCTCTGTGCCTCTCTTTCCCCAGCCGTAAAATGGGGGGTAACGTAAGCACGCATACAGTTGCAGTGAGGAGTCCATAAGTAAACAAACAGTAAGTGAGAAATGAGCAAATAATAATGAATACTCTAGAGCACTTAACGTGTCAGACATTATATCAAGGGCTTTATATACACGAATTCATTTCATCCTCATGACTCCAGTTGGTATCATCTTACAGATCAGGAAATTTAGACGCAAGGTAATTAACTAATATGCCCAGCAAGTAACTTAGAGCCAGGATCCCAGCCCAGTGTTGGGCACATTGCAAACCCCCAAAACATGTTTGTTGTTATTAGTAGTAGTAATAGCAATCTGCCCAAATGAGTTTCTGTGCTGTAGTTTTAGTTTTCTTGGCACCTGCCAAGACACATTTTGATGTTCTTCTCTGGGCCTCTGTTTCCTCAGGATGTGTAATTTCTACTTCATGTTGGGATGAGAAAACTTTTGGTGGGTAGTAGGAGGAGTTTGATGAACCAGGCAAGTCCTAACCCAAATTGGGCTTCCTGCCCGTGGTGCCCTCTGGTGGTAGCCTGTAGCACTGCAGCACCATACTCCTGTCGCTGGGGGGCTCTTTACATAGAAATAGGGGTGCTTCAAACAAAGGCTGCTCTTCTGCCTAAGGGATGGATGCAGAACTGCCTTCAGGACAGGCATTGCAGGCCAGATCTGATTCCCAGCAGTTGTGAAGCTCAGCATGAGTGGTGGAGGTGGGGGTGAAGTTGGGGGTCATATAAGAGTTTGCGTGGTCATGTTAGGACAAGGTGGTTCTAACTTGCTTTGTGACCTTGGCCAGGTTACTTAACCCTTCTGGACTTGGTCTGCATAGGAAAAAGTTTGACTGGTATGCTTTCAAGACTTTCTGCATCATGGCTGAATAGATCCTCAGGGATGCCCATTTTCCTGTCTTCCACACACACTCCTAGCCTCCCTTCAAGTCTACTTCATCCTCCTCAGATCCACCCTAGCGCTCCCTGTCTATGTGACCTTGGCGAGTTATTTAACCTTTTTTGTGCCACACATGTATAAGGGAGCTCATAATAGCGTTGAATGAATTAACGCATATAAAGTGCTTAGTACAAATGCTTGGCATACGATAGCCTCTCAGGCTGCTGTTATTAATGTCATCAGTGTTATCCCTGCATTTCCTGGGGATATCCTTCTAACTTACCAAAAGTAGAAGGAGACACACATGAGTGCCTCAGGCTGCTCTGTGACCTTGGGCAAATCACCTCACCTCTCTGGGCCTCAACCCTGGAGAATCCTCTAGGACACTGTAAATAGTGCTCTAACTGTGCATGGAACCTGAGCCTTCCTCTGCTCCACAGGTGACCATAGGTGGCTGAACTACTTGTCCCCCATCTGACAGGGTGAGACAAGGTCCTGATGGAGGCAGGAATGGGCAGGACCCAGAGAAGAGGCCAGAGACCCTCCCATCCTGGCTCTTTTACTTCTAGCTGTGTGACCTTGGGCAAGTATCATAGTCTCTCTGGACTCAAATCCCTCATTTGATGGATAGAGACCAGAGCCACCCCTGCCACTTGAGGGGCTATGAGGAAGGCCCAAAAATGCTTTGGAGATAATGGAGATATCATGCACATGTCCTCTGAGAATGACTTCTGGTGTTCTCTGCCTAAGAGTCTTGATACTTTAGATGGAAGGTCCTGAATCCATTAAAAAATTAAAAGTCCTGCACCCAAAGGAGTGGTGGGAAGGGAATTTTATGAAGATTAAGGTGCTCGGTGCTCCACCGACATGGTCTCCTCTGGCTATCTTGGCCTCTTGGGGTGGGGTGGGGGCATCTCTGGTAAGTACCACTACTACTACCACTGCTTCCAGGGAGCCTCCTCATGTGCCAGGCACTATGCTGAGCCTGGAGGCCCAGAGAGGGGAGGAGGTTTGCCCAAGGTCACTGGCGCAGGAGTTAGGCTTGCAACCCTCCAAAGCCTGTGTTTTTCCCAAAACATCCAAATTGGATGGAGACTGCTGGGGTGGGAAATGTTCAGTTGGTGGGGGAAAGGGGCAGTGGGTTTCTTCCAATGACATCACCCAGTTGGCCTGTCTGATGGGATGATGGGGTGTGGGGGGTGGGGAGAAACTGTTCAAGATGATGTTCTAACCCCTTTTAAGTTTTTGCAAATAAAAGTAATGCTTGACACTTAACTGAGCACTTACTGTGTACAAGGCGCCCTGCTCAGTGCTTTGTGTACATTAGTTGCTGTCTAAGGAAACATGATAGGCACTTCCTCCAGTGCCCTACAGAAGCTGAGGCCCAGAGTCAGGCCTTGACCCACCTCAGATCACAAAGCACATTCACACAAGAGCTAGGCCAGCCTCCTGCCTCTTAGTCCTGGACTCCTTTTCCCATTCTCTCCTAGATTCCGAGGGTACCAAACTTCCTCCAGGGAATTTCCAGCCCCCAGTCCTACTT